CATTACTTTAATATGGTTGTGTGCATTGTACATCATGTATGCAACAACCACTATGATACAATTGTCCTATTAGGACCATAGTATGTACTCAATGTAAAAGATGTTTGTCCTGGGGTCTATTACATTCATGTTGTTATCATTTAGATATACCACCTACATTAAGAATGTACTTTGGTCAAGTACTGTATGAAGTTAAAAGACCAGGACTGGAATGGTTGATGAGAGTCATTTTTGATAGAGATCTAAGCAGAGTTAAAATGGTCACTATAGTAACGTATAGCATGAAATTTTGAATTTGGCAAATTTAGCATTTGATAGCCATTTGCTAAAGTAAAATCCGCCATTTTAAGCCATTATATGCATGCTCAATGGCACATGGCCACAAATTTGCCAATTACTATGCAAAATTTAGCAATTTGCTAAATTTAACTCCCTCCAAAATTTCCTGCTATATGGTATAATATACTTTATGTATCACTTTATTTTCATTTATAGTACATAAATGATAAATTTAATGATGCTGAATTTGGTGATTCTTTTTCTTTTACATTCAATGATGCTGATGGATATATTGAGTTGTGTTTCAATGAAGTGGTGCCTAAAGGTTGGTCAATAAGACCTCATAAAACTCCAGTAATAGTAAGTTGTAGAAACTATTAAAATCATTAATTTAATTATGGTGTATAATGTTATGTTAGGCCAGTAGGTATAATATTGAGGAATATGGAAACATGTCTCCTCCAGAATGTCTAATTACAATCACAGCCACACCTGATGAAGACACAATTAAGGAATTAAACTATCCTGTAACAATGAGAGGAATAACATCTGATATTGAAAAAATAAACATTGTATTGACAAGAGGTTAGTCTCATTGCAACAGTATATTAATTGCTATGCAGGCAACTTGCTATACTGTTGCAGTGCATGTGTTATCTACCATATGGCTCCAAATTTTGTCAGTCAAAAATCTTGATTTTTTGTTAATACAATTTTCATCCTTTTGTGATAAATTTACATACCACTTACATGGAACAAATTTTTGTCTGTTAAAAATTTTATTAAACAAAAATACCTGAAAAATTTGACTACTTTTGACTG